CCCCAAAACCCCAAAACCCCAAAACCCCACTAACTTTCAAACCTTGACATAAAATAAATTATCATTTTTTAATTAAACTTATCTAATTGTTATAGGAGTTTGTCATTATCAAAGTCTAAAGAAGAATACTAATTTTTATTTGTGATTTGTGGTGACTCATTGCAATTAGAGTTTAATAGGGTGTCCATAAGTGGTAATCTTTAATATCACTGAAAGAATCATAAAAGTTCATAATCATCCCAAAATAATACTTCACTCCTGTAAAAGTTTTTAATTAATAGCCTTAAATTTCAATTTGATCTTCCTGATCATAAATATAATTCTCAACAGCCTGAGATACTTTTATATGATTTGGATGTGAACTAGAACCAAATTTATCAAATGAAATCACAATTGTTATTTTTATTCCTTTGCTCATTAAATTTTCCATATAGTCAGATATGACCTCCTTTATTAGATTTACATCCCATTTTCTTCTTCTACCATCTTATAATCTTGGATGATCGTTAACTGATATTGTCCTAAAACCAAGATATTTTGAAGCCTTTTTAAGTTCCTTCTTTCTTTATTTCCCAAGCCCTAGGACATTTCCTTATGATATGCACAATAGATGAAGGTGATTTTTCTTTCTCAAATTTATAATAGTCGGAACAAAAAACCTAGAAAATAAAAGCATTAATGTTTTACATAGACTCATCATCAGGATGAGCAGTAATAAACAGTATATTTTAGCCTTAGAACTGATTTTACTCATATGCCACCCATTGATAAACAAACATAGTTTTCATAATTAAGCAGAGGTTTATGATTAAGGAAGTAAAGAGTACAATTTAAGAAATTAATTCTATCATTTAATTAATTATATCACTAATCATTCCATCATCCAATATAGTTAGGTACTACACTAGTAAAGTAAAATAACTTCTTTTCAAAGTCAAAAAGAGCAATCTGATTATCACATTAATCGCACTCAACTTTAAAATATAGCATCTCGAATTCCTAATCTGTCTCAGTCATGCCTCTCTTGGCTCTGAGAATCTTAGATTCATTTATCTTGGCATTTTTAATTTCATTTGATTAATAGTCACTATTGATGAAGTCTAAATTTGATTTCTTCTAGATTCCTGAATATGTCAAAGGGGTGAAGCATTTTGAGCATGATATTTAAATCAGATCTTTTTCATTCTATAGAATTTTTCCTTTACTATAGCTTTATGATGCCTTCTTCCTCTGAATTCTCTTAATCCAATCTGCATTTCTCTCATCTTCACAAGGATTGTAGAGCATTTAATCGTATGTTTATTTGCCAGATTTATTATTTTACTCAGCTTTAAAATCAAAAGGACATTCATCCTCCATATTTTAATCCGTTTTATCGTTGAATTCATCTTGATCTAAGTCAATTTTCTTAGAGTCCTCACTTAATGCCACATTTTACTCTAAAGCAATTAGAATTATTTAATAATCTTACTTTTAAAAACGACAATTTGAGGATTAAGCAAAGTGGCTTGAGAATTCTATGCCATACTTATGTAAGGTTTATCAATTTACTAAGCCCATTCATCATCACTACTAGAGTCATTTATATCATTCATTACTTAATCGTGCACTTATTGTGATTAATACTTGTTGAGAAGATACTAGGACTGCCTCTAGCTTTTGTGATAATCTTTATCTATCTTTTCCTGATAAATTTCCATTTTAAAAATTAATAATCATCTGAAATTTCTAAATACTTTTCGTAATGGGGTTTTGGGGTTTTGGGGTTTTGGGG